ATAAGCATTTTCTCTCGAAAAAGTAATTATTTTTAGAAATCCAATTTTTTTTTCAACTGATATTTTTGAACATACATTAAACTAAGTATTAATTAAGTTTAAAAAGAACAAAATACTTTAATAAATATATGTAAGCCTAAAATTCTAATTCATTCCATAATACTTTTATTTAATAATGTCAGACCTCTCCAGAAATACAACGATATGGATTTGATAAAACTACATCACGTCTCTGTTTTTAAGCTCATTTGTGAAATAAGCAGTTCGATTTCGTTTACCATTTTTCTCTTCCACCATATAAGATCGACCGAAGATGACCCGGCATCATGCCCTCCGGCGCGAGCAACATTCTTTTCAGCAACTGGTTTGGCCGCTTTCCATCGAGAATTTTTATTGGTTGAAAGGTATATTTTTCACTCTACTTTTTCCACAAGATCAACTATTGCATCCCCCCCCAACAATTTCTTTACTCTTCTTTATTTGATTACATACTTCAAGCTTCAAGGCAAATGGTAGTTGAGGTAATAATTGCACACCAAATGATTTTGCAGGTTGCCGATGCAGACGATTTTTTTTTCCAGATGAAATTCCATGGAATTGGTTGAGTGAATTGCTATGAGTGAAGCGCAAGGTAGCAAGAGGGAAGGTGTAGAAGATTTACAGAGAGGGGGTAGCTTGCACAGAAAGGAATGTTGGAATGGACAAGAGGGGGGAAGGAAAGAAATAGCCAGCTACTGAAATTCTTGAGATTTCTTTTTTATTCTATCAGTCCTTTTATCATGAAATAGAAAACGATTTTTATAGCTGTAGTAGCTGAGATTTGAAAATCTCCTACATTACAGACGCAATACAAAAAGTCCAAATTAATTCCATCTAAGCGAATTGATTGAATATGCATATTTTTGGAAATCAATAGAAATATTTTACCCGATAAATTAGGCAAATTATAGTAAGCATATAATTTTAACAAAATAATGTTTTTTTAACAAAAGTATTTCTTAAAAATTGGTTTATTTGAAAGCATAAGTTATTAAGTATAATCGCAATTTGATGTACGCAATTTGCATGGTATATTGATGCATACATTTATGCAACTAAATAGGCATACATTAAACAAATTTTTGTATCTTTTTTGTGACATGTTAAATTTCCTTACTTCCATTTTCATGTTTGTTCTTTTTTCCATAATAAAAACTTAAGAAAAAAAAAGGTCATAAATAACTTAACCAATTTTTAATGTACATATTATAGATAATACAAAATATTACCTTAAAAAATAGTTACTATTATAATACTTTAAAGGCTTTTAAAGATAATTATTTTTAAAAGGTTTATTGATTGCTTATTATATTTTTATTTTATAATTTAGCATTTGAGAAAGTATTTCATGAGCATGTATAATTCAGTCACTGAATATACCATCTGCATAATATATATAGTTGCCTCAATGATAATTAAAAAAATATTTACTAGTTTACTCATACTATTAATACTAAATAATTAAAACAAAAATAAATAAGAGAGTGCGGAAATAATTTAGCGACACGAAGCGCTGTAAAACAGTATCCCTTGCAATGTGACACTGATTGGGGAAAAAACTATTATCAGGCTGATTGGGTTCTTCTTTAGTTGGATCAGCAGATATGGGTGAATAAATGTGTGCTGAATATTATCAGTTTCAAACTATGTTTTAGAACTAAACTAGACAGTGGGTGTTCGAAGATGACCTCATTGTTCGACTTCGAATAATTGTTTAACCTGCCGTTACGGTTTACAAAACGTAGGAGAAAACATCTTGGAATTTAAAATGAAAAAATAAATACACTTAACATAGTTTCCAGCCGTTGAGTAAGAGGTATGAAATGCATTCAGACTGTTTATTTACTTTCCGATCCACTGAATTAAGCGTGCATTCAATCTTATTCATTTTATTTATTTATTTTTTAAAAATGTTTTTTTTATTAAGTATATTTTAGTAGAAAAATTATTTAGAATTTATGTGAGCTTTTTTTAAAACATATTTTATCTATGCAATAGAAAATCTTTATTTTGTATTAGCATTTTATTGAATGCGACTAATTTTTTTTTCTCCCGTTCGAGCACTAATGCATCTCTTCACAGAAGCGTCTTTTATTTCAATAACTGTTTCAGGACAGTATTTATCTATATTAAATGGATAATAAAATTTTAATGCCCTTTTTAAATGTAAGTAGTATTAAAAAAAGAAAATAATCCTTGATCATGTGGTTGGATTTAAATGTAACACCGAAAAATGTAATGCAGTTGATTCTTTACTTAGTTTTATGCATTACTATGAATGTCTGGATAAAATGCCCATGGAGATAATATACTGATTTTACATGGATAAAATTCTAGAAGAAAGACCACTGGTTCTTAGTAATAATGAATTAATACATACCATCACTCTGTATTCCTTCACTGCTGAAATCATGATGGCTACTTTCTGGTGATGCAACAGAACTGCTACTGTCAGGAATTGCAACCATGGTGCCACCCCTGGAACCAGCCGGGGGTGACATGCGAAGTTGTTGCTGGTGATAAGGTGACCATTGATCAAGGATGCTCATGTCCAGCATGCTGTCCTCTGGTCGAAATGATAGCAGGGATTGTTGTTGGCGTGGAGGATTTGGAGGTTGGCATGTAAGGCTAGATGCTGAAAAGGCAAAATCGATTTAAATTTACACAGTTTAAACTTAAATTTGTGTGTAATCACACAGTTATTACATTTTTAAGTACTAGATACTGTATGATTTTTTTCCCGATTTTTCGTTTGTGTTAAACTCAATCCCACTATAATTTAATCTAGTGAAATTATGTTCAGGGTACTTTGATTGCATGAGATACTGTTTCAGGGTACTTTGATTGCATGAGATACTGTTTCAGGATATTTTGTTTACATGATATTCTGTTTCACTGTAATTTGTCTTTGTCTACGGTATCTTTTTTAAAACTTTTAATAATGTTTTTTGTATATACGACTGACTATTAGTTATTTAAAAAGAGACAACAAAGCAGGAGTTCGCTGCACAAAGTAAAATAACAAAGTTGGAAAATACCAAGACTGATGCAAAAATAATAAAGTTGGCAAGAAACAAAATGATAACGAAGGTACCCAAAAACTTCGGGACCGTGAAACTTGTATTTATCCGCAACAATCCTAATCCCCTGTATTTATCCTAAATAATTCGATTGAGAAGTAAATAATCCAGAAAAATATAATTTAGCAGCGTATTGATTATCTATTTAAAGAAGAATACAAATTATGTGCTTTATTTAAGTTGATAACAATATGAATATTAAGATTTCAACAATTACAATAATTCTGACTTAATAAATACCCTTTTCACCATTTTACTTCTAAAAATATATATTTCTTAGAATAATTTCCAACAGTAACAGTTAAGAATTTCTTCTGTTTGTAGGGCGTGGTTGAAGGCAAGTAGCAGTCACGAGTAATACAGAGAGGTCATTGGCCAGCGGGTGTTAATAATGATGACTTCATCTGTTTAAAACGCCACCCAGAAACTAAGAATTTAAATACGAAAGGAAAAGGTTTGTGGTTACGGGTTTTCCACAGAAAGAATTGAAAGCACAGAAGCGCTTGTTTAAAAATACTTTTTAAAGAATTAAATCCAAATTTAATTCAACGGATAAATTTCCTTACTCATAATTTAATGACTACCTACCCACGAACGAACTTATTCCAATGAATTAAACGATTGCTTTAATGAACATTGTGAAGGTCTGATTTCTTCATAGTCTATTTATTTACTTAGCCTTTTAACTTAAAATTGACTATTTAATTTAAGAAGTGGAAATATTTTTTTTTGCTCTATACGAACCTCAGAACTATATTTTATATTATGTATTATACAGTTAGATTAGGTAAACGGAAAATTTAGACACAAGGAAACTGAAAAAAATTCACATTTCTTAACACTAAAGTTATTTAGGAGTATCAAAAAATTATTCGTTAATTTACTATATAAATTTGAAATTAAACTTAATAAGGAATACCTTGACGCATATTTGAAATTTAGTTACGAATTATAATGCTATTTTCTTTTAAACAAAGATCAAGTATCTTAAAAAGATGCATTACTAGTACTGGAATAGATCTATTTTGCTAAACGGAAAATTAATACAACGTTTTTTTTCTTCAACAAAATGTTATTGAAAAATAAGTAAAGCTATATTTCAAAAACGCAGTGAATCGACGAATAAATTTATTTTACAATTACTTATAATACAATAGCAGACGATTTCATAAATTACTAAGAGTGCGTTGCCACCAAACTAAACAAAAGTAATATAAAACGGCGCCAACTTTCTTTTGCTTATTGTAATATTAAATAACATACTACACGATGATCCTTGAACTTTAAGTACATTAAGAAGTATTAAATAACTCTGGACAAGCGCTTCAACCCTTAACAAGCAACAAACGCCGCTTTGTAAGCTGTAAGCGACGCTTTCGTACTCTCGCAAATGATTCTATTCAATGGTCAAATGCAGAAAAAATTATCTTTGGCGACACAACATTATCTAGTTTCAAGTAGCGCTCATGTGACACAAAGCACTTATATGATATTAACATTCTTTGCTTTACTTATTCTGCAGATCAAAACATTTCCTTTGTTTCAACTGCTAGACAGTTTAGAAGAATGAAAATATTTATTCGTTAATTTAATTATGCTAGTCTTTTGAACTTTTTCCTATAAGCTGTAGTATTAAACGAGGTTTCACGTGGTGTAAAATGTCCACAAAATAAAGGATGGTATTATTGTCTAGATTTCATACAATTTTGATTGAAGAGCCACCCTGATGAGAGGTTCAATCTAACTATATTTTGCTTTTACACTAAGTAAGAGTTTAAATTGTTACAGAACTTTCTTTTTGTAGTATTCAATCGTGTGTAAAAGACACTCTGAGAAAAAAGTTCGGATAAAACTACCAGAATATAGTTAAAATCTACAGTGTTTCTATGGGAACACTAAAAAGCTCGGTAGGGTTTACCGAAATGCTTTGGTGATGATTTTGGCAAAATTAATAATAAAATAGTTTTTTATAGTACGTAATATTTGGTAAATGTGGTGAAATTTGGTTATTTTTATTATGATACCTTAGCATTTAAGCTACTTATTCGGTTAAATTCACTTTTCGGTATTGTACCTTTTACTAAATGAGTGGCAACAAGGACTAAGATTTTGAAAACCAGAACTTCCAATAAACCGTTACCAAACGAGTGGTATAAGTACCGTTTATCTTTGTTTTTATTACCAGAATTCTATTTAACTAATCGATACAACTTAAAAGTAAATAAATAAAAATGGCGAACTTACCAGTTTTCCAGATGTCTAGTTGTGCGTATAGTATATCTCCACCATTTGGAATTTTTTGTCTGAAGTAATCTTCTGATAGAGCGCATAATCCCAAGCCATCCATATTGAAATATTGCAAAACCTCAGTGTTCATTCCATATTGGTTTAAAATCCATAATAACCAAGACTTTGCTTCATCTATTGTCCACAAAGTTGGATCTAAAAAAAATATTAATAAAATTGAATCACGTGGATTTTATAGATGTAAAAAGGTAGATTTTCACTGAATTATCAAGTACTAAGGAAAACAATCTTGATTTTAGCAAATAAAAAGCAAATCAAAATATTAAACTAGAGCATACTTTGACCGAAATTTACGTATAAAAACTGAACAACAAAGGAGCTAAGATGTAATTATAAAGGTGAAAGTCAAGAAGAAAATTTTGAGGCAATAAATTTAATACGTTCAGTTTTAAAGTGGGAAAAGTTACAAATATTTACTGTTTTCTGAAGGTTAAAACAATGCTAAGTCTTAAGAAAATAATTTACTTCATGTACTATTTAAAGCGAATATAATTAGAAAATCGCAGGTAAATTTTATATCATGAAGTAGGAATATTTATATAATAAATTAATAAATGATATTTAACAAATCAATTACTTTCACTAAAGGGTAAATTTCATGCATTAAGAATTGTCAAATTGATAGCTATAACGATAACTTAAAACTGTTATATCTTGAAAATATTTAATTACAAATCTTTTTAAGTTACATTTATGTTAGTAGATATTAGTATTGCCACATAAATCTAAAAAATTGCATTATAATAATTAATTCGTGTGAAACTAAAAGCAAAATTAGGGCTATCATTAACAGTTAAAATTGCAATTATTAGATAGTAAAACACCTTTTTTTAGCCACAATGAGAACTTTTATGCATAAACAGCTGCAGGAATTTCTTTGTATTCTCTCATTGTCAAATCATTGTTTTTTTCTTTTTTTCTTTTTCTGTGAGGTAAAGATGAGAGAACCGCAAAGGGAACTTAAACAGGAGATAAGCAACAGTAGTTTGGACGAATAACGCGGAGAAACACACCGGAAAAGCTAATATCTGTAAATCTGAACTTGTAGTAATTCGAATTAAAAAAAACATTTTCGCACGCGAAACGGGCATTGTCCGATTTCCTGTACACACACCACGCGAATTACTGGTTGACATTGCGATAAAAACAGTTAAGGGGAGTCTTTTTTTTTATTGTTATATTTGTGTGTGCAGCTGCAATTTTTAGAAGATATATTTTGATATGCACTGGATATATATTTGTTTTAAAGAACTTGTGAATGAAACGAAAACTAAATGGATTTTAAAATGAATTAAAAAATTTGTTAATGACATTATTCTTGTTCCTTACCTATTTGAACCAAAGAAAAAAATTTAGTGTGTCCCTGATTTTAACAACTGAACTGTTTCTGTCAATGGGATATATTGAACAGCTGTTTCAATTTTTTTATGTTAATTGATAACTTTTAAAATGACGTGGTAAAAACATTTGAGCGAACACACTTGGTTTCAATATTCACCACGTTATCTTTTTTCCCAATTCCTAGCATTAAGTTATCATGACAATAGTCACAGTAATTACCTTTGTTCGAAGTATGAATCACCACTGAATCCTCACATCTTAACAAAAACAACCACCTATCAGTTATAAAAAAATACGCACCCTAAGAAAAAAGTGATTTGTTGAATGTATATATTAATGACACCGGAGTCAGAGGCGGCTATACTGTGCCAACATCACGCATTCCAATGTAACGGAATTTAACGATGTCATAAATTAAGTCAAATAAAATTAATGATCACTAAGGTACTCGCAATTCATCTGAAGTTGTAATTACCCTTACACATAACAGATCAAAATAAGAAAGGCTAGATTAGATTTTAGCTTTAGGTGAATACGCTTCTACTTCTATAATTAATAATTCATCACTTTTAAACAATCTTTATAGAAATTTTATTCGCAAAACGTTGATAAAAAAAAATTTTTTTTTCGTGAATTTTTCATACACTTTTTCATTATTATTATATTTCATATATTAATTATGATATTAGATTTTACGAACTCTTTATATCTAAGATAATGAGTTAAATAGAATTAAAATATATCTAAAAAAGTCAACAAAACAACTGCATTGCTACTATGTTTTCTTAAAAAAATAAATAAAAAATTTATTTTGCATGTTGAAAGGAACAATATATAAGATTGGAAACGGAACTCTACTTTCAATTCTTCATCAACGGAAGTCCGCTTTAATATTTTTCAGCTCCTGTTCTGGACAAGGTTAAGTTGTTTTCACATAGATAACGGGATACAGATAAAAGCAATTATTGATGATAAATTCAGGAAAATAACTTTTGCTCCCTAAATATACAATCAATTTTTAAAACCGATCAACCAAAATGGAATTTTTAATACGAGGCTTCTCATTTTTGACACTTATCCTTCATCATGCGTGGAACAAAAATAAATATGGTTGCAAACCACACATTTCCGTTTAATTTCGTGGTAAAAATATGGGCGGTGATTATGTCCCTCAAATACAGCTGTCTTATTTTTTGGTTTAAAAAGTTGGTTAATAATGCTGTCGTGATTAAAGCTGATCTCAGTCATGGTTTTCTGCACATCTACTTGGCTGATTTTGCGGGGAGGTTTCTTAGGGTAAAATCTGTGCACTGTGGCATTTTCAAAAACTTGATTTTCTTTTTAGATTTTTTTCCCGCACGATTCCGAAAGTTTGCTCATTTTAAAACAATTTCCAAAAAGTGTAATTTTAAATTCAGAATACATTGAGAGACGATAAAGCGTAATTGTCATCGACTCGCATAACTGACAATGTTAAATAGCGTTTTCTTAAGTCAATGCTTTTAAAGTTTAATTTGCAACGACGCGCTTGACAGACAGTCTCAATTAGGGTTTTCTCCTGTCTATACTTTGAAGTAAAATTTGCATCAATACAAATTGATAATAACTTTAAATAACGTTTTTTTAAAAATTTTTTTTTTATTATATTTATTTCAACTGCAAGTCTACACCAGTCTTTATATCATAACTTAGTTTAATTTGTTAAATATTTAAAAACAATTATAAAGTAATACTAAATTCAATATATGCGCCTGTAGTCTCTGTTACATTTAGAATTTTTTTTAAATTTATTCCACTGTTTTTGATTAACAGCGTGATAAATCCTGCTTTTAAGATATTTCTTTTTAAGTATTAGAATATATTTTGTCGTATTAGTTTTAATGTTCAACAGAAAACAAACCAATAATATATGTGCTAGAAATTTGAAAGTAAATAAAATTCCATATTCCCAATCCATATAAAAACCCATATTATATTCTTTTGAAAGTAAATAAAATCCATATTCTTGGAATTTCTTTTATTAACTATTTGAGACGAACAACATACACGTAAATAATAAAAAATAGCATAAATTAACTATGAAAATTAATTCTAAAATAATAATTGAAATCTTAACTTATTTATCACATAATTCCTTAAAAAAACTCATTCTCCATTACATCTTTGTTACTTTAAATTTATAAATAATTTCAGAAAAAAAAGCGCTTAGTTATTAAAAAGAATATCATGTTTTGAAATATTTTTTGAATTGATAGTTAAAATTCTAATTAACTCATGCAACAGATAACGAATCACTAAATAAAAAAAATTATTTCTGACCAAAGATCAATATTAAAAAAGTTAAAGCTAAATGTAGAGACATTATTTGGTGGCAAGTTTCGAATAAACTTGTAAAAGCTAACTTAAATTGAGCTTGACAGCACATTGTGAAGGAACACATTGTGCACATTGAAGAAAATTGTGAATGTATTTAAGCCTAAAATGTTTATGATCGGATTTAGAACTAACTAATTGGGCAGTGAACAATTTAAATAAAATTCTGAATCATGATTCAGTTTCGAAGTAAATTTAATTAAATATAGCTTTCGAATAGCTTTCACAAAGGTCATTATATAAAATTTTACAGAATTTGAAATTCTTTAGATTTTTTTTCAATTAACTATAAAATAAAATGTTTACACTAAGGCGTAATGTGCGTTAATAAATACTTTAGTTTACAAAATATTTATCTAAATATCGTTTGGTTTTTCACTATCCCGCCATTTTCATTAAGAGTCTTTAATGACGAAATAGCGTGTCAATAAACAATAACACGTCACGCCAATTTATGAGGATTTTCCTCCTCTTCTTTTTCATAGATGCAAGGAAATAAAATTAAGAAAGGAAGTTAAAAAAAAAAAAAATGCTTTCACGGTTTTAGAATTTAGGTCGGACAATACTTGCGTCACTTGAATTTCCTCGGAAGAAAGAAATACTTGGAATACAATTTAAGAAAAACAGCATAGCCTCATTACAATATAGGTGCAAAAGAAATATTATAATATTATTGTTTTCGACTTTCTTCCATAGATTTCAGTCCTCTATTGTATTTTGAAATATAGAGTGTAATTGCAGATTTTAGGAAGTTGGAATTTTTTTATAGGTAAAACCAGTTAAGAGATTTGGTGTATTCTAGAAAAAAGAACATGTTTGCGACCTCGAACTGCAGCGAGAAATTCAATTTACATCCCACAGTAAGAGCAAAATATATAATTTAAAACAAATTAAGTTCGATAGAAGTAATATGTTATCAGGAGTTTAAAAAAATACAAGTACACGATTGCTTTTGAAGTTGTATTTTGTAATTAGAATTTAGCACAAGAACTCCGGTATAGATATTCAAAACCTGTTTTCGTCAATGAAGACTAATAGTTTCAAATCTACCTGTATTGTCTCGAATAAATAATATGAATAAAAATAGATTGGAAAGAAATGTATTTCCAGTTACACGAAAAACAACATCAAAATAAATTAAATGAATTTTAAAAAGATCACTTAAACACAGCTTTGAATTTTCCAATTTAAATTGTAATACCTTTTCAGTTTCCTCTTTGCTAAATTATAAATATTCTATTTGTAAAATTGTAAGCAGTCATAAAATGGCAAAGCGTAATTATACCCTACGAAGTAACCGGAACAAAACTTTTGTTGTATTCAGTTTTTATTTATGATAAATATTTATGTTGCTATTTTAAATGATTATTTTATTTGAGATAAATCCTTGCATCAAATCGTAACATAAAATTCCTGCTTGTCTGCTGTATCAATGAATACACAACAAAATCGAACCTTTAAAATTGCAATAAATATTATTGTAAATTAATTTTTATTAGACAAGTTTCGCTGTAATTTGCCTTAACAGCGTAAGTAAAAAGGTTCGTGGTAAGAAACCAGCAGCAGTCAGTCCAACCAATTAATCGCAAAGTTTACGGAAAAGAACATTTTTAACCTTTACGGTTTTGAAACCTTTCACAACTAGCATATTTAAAAAACTATGAATACAAAACTATACGGTTTTTTAACAATTTACAACTATCATGGTTTCAAAAACCATAAAACAGAAATTTAACGGGATCGTCGAGATATAGCAGCTTTACAGTGCTGATATCTATGCGTAAATGAGAATATCGTATTCTAACAGTCTACAGTTACAAATTGGAAAGTGCAGGAAGCTGGAAACTCTTCACGTGTTGAAGGGAATAGGGGAAATGTTGAAATGTCAAAGCTGGGATTCAAACCCCCGTTCTGTTAATCATAAGAATGACAGATTAGCCCTCTTGGCTATATGTACTCATCTGCAAGGAACTAAGTGGCTTCGTTAGGTGGGTCTTGTTGGTGTGATAAAGTTCTGATTGTTTAATTGTATTAGGTGAAAGCAGTTAATAAACGGTTTTTCTCACAGTTAACATAGTGGATTTAATCTTATTTATGATTATTTGGCTGTTTTGTTTGACTATAGTAAAATAACAAATTGTTTTTTTAAAACTATTTTTCAAAGCATTTTTAACAGTGCATAGTTACACAAAAAAAGTAGTATCCTTTATTCACATAGCTAAGCCAATAGACATGATACATGAACTTGTTTCTTTCTTTTGGTGATTTTTCATCCAGAAAAATAAATTTTTTTATTATGAAAAAATAAATAAATAAAAATAAATGAGTTGGATTCTGGATCCAAACAACTTACACAATCTGAAATCCAATGATACGTTCAATTAAAAAGATGTCCTGTATCTGATTAACCTTCAGAATATTTTGTTAAAAGGTGCGATTCATTATGAGTTACATGCAAATATAATTCTTCTTCCTTTTTATCATTTTTTTGTCGAGCACCCAACGTTTATTTTTCACTTTATCTTCCTTTCGCGAACAATAAAGCTTTTGAGAAATGTCATGTTTGACCTACTAATAGAATTCGCGAAGACATTGCCATCAGCAAGAAAGTCAACTCGGCCGTAACAGAAAAAGAAAATGGCGCAATGAGATAGAATTCTATTGAACTGCAAATGGAAACCTGCGGTGTAGCCTATTGACAGCAACACGTCAAGCGTTACTTCAAAATCAAATTTATAAAACGGGAACTATATTCTTTCTCCGACTCTTTGTTAATCCGATTGGTAATTTATTGGGCAGTGGGCTATTAAGACTGGGACAAGCCCACTGATTTAACAGAAAGCTATGGCGAATTTCGTGGGTTGAAATTCCGATTTATTTCCATTTTTTATTGTATTAGGTGATTCGACCCATTTCTGGAAGGTAGAGGAAGGAAAGATTTCTTTTTTATATGATGTCGTGAGTGGGGAGAACAGTTTATGGTGTATTTTCCCACCTTTGGTGTAATCGGGTTACGATTTGCGTCACTACTGATATGAGATGTGATGCTTCGAATGGGTGTGGGGGGGGGGATGACTACTAAAATGTAGAAAGTGGATCGTAAAAAATGAGGAGAAGATGGTATAATTTCCCACCATTTTTTTTTTAAACGTACTTTAATTTTTAAAATATTATAAAAATTTAACTCTAAACCAACCATGTCAGGTAAACTCAATTTTTAACAATCTTCTCTTTGGAATATCCAAAATGCGGTTGAACATTTTAACAGTATCTTTTTAATAATAAAATATCATTTTAACCGTTCTTAATTTTTTTCGGTGATGGAACCCTAACTTAGCTTCTTTAGGCGGAACGCCGCATTTATAAATTAAGTTCATTTAGCAAATGCAAATATACTAACCGAAAAAAAGTTAACAATTTTTTAAGAACAATATTTAAGGAAGCGAATGATTTTTATTATTGTTTAATCAATTAAAAATTTAAGTTTTTATTCCAGTGGAATTCTAATAGTCTTAAACTAATAATTCGGCATAGTCTGAAAATAATAAAATTTAGCTGAATCATGATTTCCGAAAAAAACTATTTATTAATGTTGAAGCAATTATTACATGTTTAATATTGAATTGCTTCTTTATTTATCTTTCATTGAAATTGTTTATTTATCTTTTAATAATTTATCTTATCTATCTATTAATAATTTATCTTTTACTGTTGATGAATTTTTTTTATTAAAAGACATTCTTGGAATATTGGATTTTTTTTTAAAAAAATCATGCTGTTTATTTTTTTATCTCAAATGACTTAAATAATTTCAAAGAAAGTAACGGAAATATTAACTAAATTTTGGATTATTAGTTGAATATTAAAACTAATAAATGTTTAAAAAATCATTACTGTTTAAAAAATGTCCTTACTGTCGGAACCCCAACGATCCTTTCACGGAACCCTAGGGTTCTGCAGAACACCATTTGGGAGCCACTGACATAGATAATAAATTATTATATAAGTCAGAAATATCCTATGAGTATTTAAAATAAATGTAGCGATTCTTTTAGCACTTATAAAAATTACGTCAAATCATATCAATATTTTAGTAAGTCCGAAAAAATTGCCGATAAAAATATTTCTTGAGCACGTGATTGGTAGTATAATACCTCATTCTGTATATTAAACAGTTTATATATTTCTAAAGCTTAAACAAGAAATAAACAAAATTAATTATGATAAATTAATTGAGTTGAAAAATTTTAAACGTGTTTCGTGCCTAAGACCATTATTACTAGTAAGACAAATCTATTAATTTAGGGTCATCTAATCTGAGTTAGAATTATAAATTCGCTCACTACAAAGTTCTTCTTCCAAGTGGCCCGTTTAAAAAAAGAAAATTATCTTTATTTTATTTCTCCCTCTTATTAATTAGTTAAGTATATTCTCAAGCACACTACTGTATGTATTCCTAAACTTATAATACTGCTGGTTTTCACACATAAAATTAGGGAGTACAACAATACTTATTAGTGAAACTAAACAATATCTTTTAAAAACGAAAGAATAATCCATTAAATAGTAGATTACTTGAAACGATAATGGGTTGAGTTTAATCTTCTACTTAAAGCTAACTAAATATAGCAATTCTACTACATCTAACACTGATCCAAAGGTGCAAGCGATAATAAGCTTTATAGACCATAAATTAGTTCGAATCTATAATCTCATGAAAAGTAGTAATATTTCATAATACTTAAAAGCCTATTCTGGTGGTGAACTTATAATAGATCAGGTATTTAGCAATAAATAAATAAAAATAATGAACGTACCAGGACAGATACCAAGTATGCCGCAAGCAACACGAATATCCTTTGCTGCTTGTTCCATTGCCATGTTTCTCAATTGTTCCATTTTATCGTCTTCATCTTCGTGCTTGACATTCATGTCTGGACTCATGGGTCCCATATGTAATCCAGGACACTGGTAATCAATTTCTTCAGCCTCCTGTTTAATCTGGACATAGGGAGGTGGACCTACATAGCCTTTACCTGGTGGACTGTCGTATAGAGTTGGGCTTTCAGCCGCTGAAGGCACTCCGGAAGGAGATGGAATGCTTACATGCACATTGCCATAAGCGGCCATCTTTTGTGGTTCCATAATAGAAGGTGCTGTGTACATTAAATTACTGTTACTTCTGAGCAGAGTAGAGGGATCACAGAGCCAGCTCTCAAAATCGGCCATTGTCCACCCTTCTAATTCGGACAGCGGACTTCCTGGATTGGGAACTAACTGGGGCCTCTGGAAAAATGAAGAAATACAATTGTAAAGAAAAAAATTTGTTATATCGCGGTAATTAGTATTAATATAAAATAAATGCAAGATAGACGTGGCATACAGAAGTTTTAGTTTTTTTTTTTTATAATTTATGGATTGATGTAGCAACACAGATGAAATAAAAAAGTATGAGTATTACACTGTAGAATTTTCATGAATTAATAAATTGAAAGGAGCATACATAGAAGTTGCCTTAATAAACTATAAGACGGGAGTATAAATTGTTTCTTTAAAAACTTTTTCATTCGTGTAAAAATGACTTATACACATATGGAGAAGTAAATTTTTGAAATTTATAAAAATTATTTTAAAATTTAATATTTTATAAAAAATTACCTTTTTAACTGTTATTATATCCAACACGATGTTAATGAAATCAAAATAATTAGCTCTCCTAAACTTTAATTCTATTTCACTATAATTGAAGCAGGAATCTCAAAGTTATTTTTTTATCACAATTTAGCCATTAAGTTTTTTTTTTCAATAAAATAAAAAGGAAATTTTTTTTGACCGACAGCAGTGCATTTCGTAACAACTTTACTTTACGGTTTAGTTTAAAGTGATAAAAAAATTCTCACAACGAGGCCGAGTTTGGTATACCTGAAAACAGCGTTCTGTAATTCAGTATTATGAGATAACAGAGTTAACATAATGAGAAAAATGGCTATCAGCCTTAAAACGAAGAAACAGCTCAAACAAAGTAAAATAAGTCAAATTAGAAATTAAGTAAAAATTTTACTAATAAAAGTGACGGAGCATAAAACACATTTCTAACGTGATGTAGGCTATAATTTATTAAACAAATACATAAGTAGTTAGAAATCAATTACCATTGAACTTAAGAATAATATCGAACAGTATACTGCAAATTGCAACAATTAAATCAATGTGTTCTATGTCTGCAAATCAACTTAAGAATTAATGCATTTAAAATTCCACGATATCAATTATTCTGTAAAACTTAATCAAAATACTAAAGTGAATTTCAAATAATCCCAATTGGGAGTTACGAAGGCATTAATTTCAAAGTTTCCTCATAATCCGAAGAATGCAAGAGGCAACTGAAAAAATAAATGCAGTGCAAAAATCTTAAGCAACTAGTAATTTTCTACCATCTACTCTAACAAAGAACAACTTTCATCAAATTCTCTTAGAAAAAACATGATCCCCGGGAATTTCGAAAGCTACCTGCCCGCCAACTTTTTCTTTGTTTCTTATTTATTTATATTAAAGCAGAAGAAAATACCTTGACCCCGACGCCCTTCAGATGGGCCGAGCTTTGCCCGGGCTCAACTTCTGGCAGTTATTCTGCTTGGGCTCTTGTTGGCCCAGTAAGTTAAAACCGGCCCCATCATAACACCCTGGAATATACGCCTCTGGGGGTACAGTAAAATGGTAACTTCTCTGCTATAATTTTTTCGTCTCATCATTAAGTTCGAACTTGTTTTTTTTTCTTCAAGCATTAAGGGAAAAGGAATTTTGCAAAGATTGTGCAAGCTTCAATTACTTCTGGCAGAGATTGTTACAAATTTTAGCTTTGAAACTGAAATTGATTAGGATGTTTGGAAAAGAAGAGAAAAAACTTAGGAGACACTCTGCAAGAAATTTATTTAGAAAGCACTAATTCAGCGACAAAGGTAATAGGAAGTTGAAAGCATTTCGAAAACAAAGTCAGTCTCAAAATATTAGCTAATGGATTGAAAAAAAAATGCCTAGAAACATTGAATCATATTGCAAAAAAGAGGCATACAAGAATTATTGCACGAAATGATTTAAGACATAAATCCAGCAAAAACTAAGAATAATTTGCGGGAAAAAAACTTGATACCTTTCTTATTCACTGTTGTTTAGATGGGATGAAATTTAAACTTAAAAAGTAACTAGGATACTATATACAGATAACTATGCATACAGATAACTGTGATACAAAAAATTTTTGCCCATTATTCACAAAACCAATTTTAAATAAACCAATGAATTTTTGTCTAAATATTGGTCAATTCTGCCATTTGCGAATACCATATCTTCAAGCTTTAAATGCAGAATTACTCTATTGCAAGTAATTTTAAATGTCTACAAATCGCAATAATTCGCGAATACCAATTGCAATAAAAATGCAATCGCTTTAGTTCCTAGAATAATTTATCTTCCAAGAATCAGCTATTACAGGTAGTACAAAATGGTTGAACTATGACGTAAAATTTAAACATTTGCAACTACGTAACTAAATTTAAACCTTAAAGGACTAAAAATTACTTATGAAAAAAAAGAAAGAAAAAAAGAGCTTTAGCCACATTTCTTCAAACTTTCAACAAACTTCAAGATACATCCAAAAATCAGCATAGATTAACAAATTTGAAGTAAAAAATCTACTACTAAATTTTTTTTATGAAATAATCAACTGCTAGTAGTCAATTGACGTAACAAAAACAGTTAACATATATGATATAAATTTAATTAGCACATGAATTTTGAATAAAATTTTATCACTTTAGATCTATGACGAAAATCTGAACCTTAATTAGACTGTCTTTATAAAAAAAAAATATTTGAAACCAATTAGCGAAGCAGAAGATCAAATTACAAAATTTTAATAAATAAAGTTGAGGAAAACATATGAGTAAAAATGAAAAACTGAGCTACTAAAAAATAGATTGATTGATATAAATTTTTTTTTCTTTAACCACTGATGGGATATAAGTAATTACTGTCACAAGTTTTGCACAGATAAAACAAGAAATTTAAGAAAAGTGGATATAAATGCTTAAGATAAAAGACTTTAATTAGAACAAAGTAATTTCTGAATTTAATACTTACAAGGGAAAAATTATTTATGTAGCGTTATTTAAGCGTGCTAAATAAAATGAAAATAATAATAAATAAAATCGGAGCATTGCAGTGAAATCAGTTTAATAATAAAGAAAAGCGATATGATTGGACGAATATTTCTTAGAATAAAAAGTAGTAATAAAAATAACAGTTGGAAATATATAAAAGTTAAGCAATCTGACACAGACCACGAAATTTTTAAGATATTTGAAGCATAAAAAAAAGTTAAACCAAATATATACTAAGTTTAAATGCATCAATTGGTATTCTTTTAAGTTTAAATATAATCAATAGGTATTCTTTTCTGTCTAGACAATTTCGAAACAGTCTGAATTTTTATTGTCACAATCCAAGAATGTCTAAAAATTTATCTTAAAGAGTATACCTCTATATGCGTTCATATAAGTATTAAATAAATTAAACTTCAAATAATATGTTAGTAACGATATTTTTTTGAAATTTTTTTTTCTCATGAAAAATGAAAAGTGAAGTTAAATAAATTATGGGTTAAATTTTTTTTTCACCAAAAAAATGAATAGATTGATAGATTTATAGAGATTTAACCTTATAAAAATATTTTCTTTTATTATTTTATGCTAATTTAACTAAATAGTTTTATGCAAAATACTAAAAACTACCGTCGCTTTTATCATCCAACCCACGGTTTAAAAAAACAATATTTTTTTGGCACAAAATAGTAATTATAATTAACTAGACATTTAATAGTTAAAACATTAAGTGCTAATAGATAAGATGTTAATTTATTCTAACTATAGAGCTGCTGGAAAAAAAAGAAAAAAAAACACCAAAGCTTCCCTTTAAGAAGAAAAAAGAAACTTTACCCACAAACCAGCTCTTACTCAAAATAAAAAGACTGCAATTTCATATATCAAATAATTCGATTAAGGGGCAAATTTTCCAAAGTCCTTTTCTTACTTGCGATTTCGAACAAAAACTGAAAACTAAATGAATTTAATATCATTTTTATCAATAACGAATTAGCTTTTTCAATAAACATTAGCCTTAAAAATTTCTAGTTGAAATAAATAAAATTGTCAAGCAGAAACGTAGGCAGAATTTAAATAAAGTTAAATCACTTATCAAAGTTTTTCGATTTTTATATCGATTTAAATATGAAGAAAACAAGGATAAAATCTTAAATCTTATCAGGGTTAACAAACGAAGCAATATAAAGGTTAAAAAAAACAATGAGAAGGCGCAAGATTAATAACGAATAACATCAGATATTTGCGTTAAAATAAAAACATTTAAATCAGCGTATTATGCGTATATATATATATATATATAATTTAAAAATTTTCATCTCATTGGAAGACATTTATTTTATCAACTAAGAACACAATTGCGTCAATGCGCAGAATAAAATCAAAATAAAAAATTTAAATTAGCATATGATGTATACTTTTTAAAAATTTTAATCAAATAAGAATACGTAATCATTGACTGTTAAGCACACAAATGCTATTAAAATTGTTTTCAAATCCCTAATTGAAATATGTTAAACTGTAAGACAATTGAATAGAGATCACAGAAAAATTTTAAATCCTCAATCGATATAAAAATTATTCAAACTGAATTAAATAATACAGAAATATTTAACTGCTGTTCTCTTTGAGTGGGGATTCACTTAAATAATTATAATTATTAAAGTCATTAAATTTTGAAAAGAAATAAAAGTTTTCAATATTGGACGTATTTCAAAAATTTTTGTTAATCACTTACACAGTTAGATTATAGAAGATTAATGTAACTTATCATAGAAGCAAATATTAATAATGAAATTTACGAAATATAGTAAAAAACAAAGTAATGTAATAAAATAATAGTTGAAATGTAAAAATATAAACTGACAAGAGCGCACTAAGCAAACTCCATAGCGATAGCTCATCATAAAGTGTTATTATCATATTGCTGTTGCATGCAGTAAAGGACTCAAAGTTCGGTAAAATTTATCAGCATCAATTTGAACCTCACACAATTCATTCACTGATAAAAATATTGTCAAATGAATACTAAAATAAGCATCACAGATATATAAAATAATTTTTTTAATAATTACATAATTTTTATTTCTAAAAAAATTACTTTAAAAGTTATTGTTCTGAAACATTTTATAGAAAAAATATGATTAACAAATTTCAGTCAAGTTAATCAGTTTTTTTTTTGGGGGGGGGCAAATAAATTATTCTTAATTACCGTAAAATAGTTAATAATGCTTTAATTAACTGCTATCCAGAAAAAAACCAGAGAAAATATGGATTTAATGCTGTTATTAATTTCCTTTTCTTTAATAAAATTTTTTCAACTTTTAAGCAAATTATACAGTTTAAAAATGTTTACATCATTATTGTTTATTTCCAATGATTTAAATATTAATGTTATTATTTTACTTGTAAAGTAAGCAACGTTTTTAATTTTTCAATATTACATAAGCGAAAATTATTTAAATAAAATTTGTTTATCTAAATAAGCTTTAAAAACATTTGCAAAGTCAATACAGTTTACTTAAAAGCACGTAGCCTTTGTTTTCAAATAAAATACCCAGCAAATTAATTTTTATATCAATATTTACAGCAATGGCTTTTTTTTTACTGTTAACAAAAATCGGCATTGTTATTTAAAATATGCATTTATTGTTTTCTTTATGGAAAAGTAAATTTTATATTATAATAAAAAAAATATTTAGTTAGAAATAAATTATGTTTCACAAAATTTGTTTTCGCTGAATCGCAAATTCAGTTACCATAAAGTACAATAAATTTAATACGAGTTAAAAATTTGATAAGAAATACATATTAAGGAATGGCAACATTTTAAGATGTTACTGCGCATGTCCATTATCAACTTTTAAAAACAAAATAGAAAAGAAAAAAAGAAGTTGATGAGAAAAGAACTAGTCAATCCACATTCTTAATTCTACTTAAACGTAATTACAGAACGTTATTTTTTCAATAATAAATTAAAAGTTTCAAACTTAAAGAATATTTGTAATAGAAATCATGTTTTTAATACAAAAAACTAGCACTTCGAATAATTCTAAATAAATTATGATAATAATAAAAACTCAAAATGAACTTACAGTTTCAACTCGAATGGGAGCACACGTCTGCATGTTCCTCTGTCGCAGGCACTTTGATAACTGAAGTTCAAGACTACTAACTGGTAACACGACTTGGTCTGATTTTAGGCGTGACGTACGCGTGACGTCACGAGTCCCAGATGAGGGAATATTTGTTCTCTTATGATGTTTGGAGAAGTGAGAGTAGGGGGTGTGTTCTAGTGCTTCTTACAATACTTTGAACCATCCCTATGAGTTACACTATTGTATTGGAAGCATATGTTGGCAATAAAGGATGCAGACATGTGTTTTTGGTTATAGTAAACAAAAACATGATTGATAAGAAATTCAAGTCAGTTTGTTAGATTTGAATGGAAAATCTTATTTAAAGAAAAAAATGATTTTCGTAATCTTCAATGAATTGTAATTGTAAATTATTTAGGAAATTTAATAAAATCCTAACCTTAAAATACTTAAAACTAGTCAACCCCTTATGGCCACTGTAAAAATATAATCTAGAATTAAAAATAAAAAAATACATTTTTAAACTTTTTTTTATTTCATAAAAAGTATTTTGATAATTATTTTGATTTTTTATAAGTAATAAATTGTTCTGTGCAATTACATAATTAGCAAAGGAGTTTAAATGTCTGAATTAAATTCTAGTTTAATTCACAGCATATTAAATGTCTATGAAAAATGTGGTTTGTGACTATAAAATTTTAAGATGAGTCATTTTAAAATTTTTCTAATGATCATAATTATTTTAAAGTAAATATTTTAATTAATTATCTCCCACATGAAACATTAAAAAAATTAAAAGTAAAAATAGTGGTTTTCTAAGATTTAATGCTTAATACAAATGATAATCAAATATTTCTTCCAAAACCATTTACATATTGTCTCCATAATTTTGTAGAGGAATAAATGAAACGTGTAAATTTAGTTTACAGTTAATTAGTTTAGCGTTTCATGTTCATGCTTAATGTTCATATTAATAAATCAGAAGCTTTTTGAATTAAAAAATCACGTTACTGGTAAAATGTTTTAGCTACTATTTTTGTAAATTAATTTTCCAAATGATTAATCCTTGTATTTCAATTATGAAGGAAAGAGGAAACTGTTACTATAAAAAGGTTTGTTAAACACATACGACTGATAGGCTCATTGATCTGGTTATTGTTTTTAAAGCAAGTTAAGTATGCAGCACCAAAAAGCGTGAACAGATCTTTAAAAATTAATTCTGTTTGTATGGACGTATTCGAAAATAATTGCTTTTTTTCTTCCTTTTTCTATTTTATTAGCTTTGGTACGTATTAAAGAATATTTTTTTATATGCGTATAGTAATAACCGCAGATGAAATCTTTATGAACAAAAAAACAATGTGTCTAAAAATAGATCCACAGAGAATACTTTTTGCTATGCAAACTGAAAAAGAGAGGAAAAAAAAAAAACGTGATAAAGCACAAATGAAGGTTCAGAACTGGACGCACTGTAGTTTCGGTTCTATAAAAACACCTTCCAATTTTTAAAAAAATAACATTTTTCAAAATTAAACTCACTTATTATTTATTCAGAATTTATCTCGTGTCATTTTAAAGTATAAAAGTCTTAAAAAAGAAAAAAAACACATAAGAATCGTGGTTAAAAAGAAAAAGAAAAACAACGTTCTGTAAGCATTTGGAACATTTTGTTATATTTTAATATTTGAGATTTCACCGGAAAGAAAAAGTCTGTAAACGAAATATTGTTTTAAGCTACATTCTTGGAAATCGCATCTCGCTTTAACAAAATATTGTGAAATATTTTTACTAATTTAGAACATGGATTTTCAGTTTGTGGGATACAATACCTTATGAACTATAAAAGTTCAATGGAGTTCAAGGTTCAAGTATTTTTCCTGCCTTTTGCATCAATTTTGTATTATAGACTTTCATTTTATTAAGAGCGGGAATATGTTTTCATTCAAATATAAGAAAAAATCGACATTATATACCTATAAATTTGTACTTGTAACTAAAAAATGACGATTAGCTTTTAATTAAAAGTAAATCGATTTCTTAACACTTTGGAGAGCAAAAATATTTTAACAAAACTCTTAACCAATAATAATAATGAAAAAAATAGTTTTGTTATCATATACACGTCCAAAAATAATTAAAAACTGCTTTAGTTAACAGATGAAAATTAATATATTTTTAGTAGTTTACATTATTGTCAAACATAAATGAAACAATTTTTATCTCCCGGCCCTGAATTGATTCAAGTCGAATTTTCTAAGTAATTAGCGATTCATGGCCAAGATCAGGTTTTCCCAAATTTATCCAAACCATGACACTTTGAAAAAAAAATTTTTTTTCATGACACCATTTTAAGGAAAAGTAATCTACGGAATGTAAAATTATAACTAATTAATCTTATTTGTTTTATATCATATATACTTCATCATATGTAGTTTTTTAAATCACCTATTTTAAACCATACGTAATTGTATTTGTAACGTATTTACAGTAAATTAATAACTTAAACAAAGGGAAATGAAAATTTCGATGAATTTTTCTGCAAAAAATATGCTAATATTTAATTTAAATAATTTTCATTTTTTCAAATTTCGTCACTGTCTCCCATCGTTATCATGGGGACTGCAAGAACTTTTATGCATTGTAAAAAACTTCGTATCAAATCACGGTAAAAATTACCGGAACTTTGTGTGCATTATTCGAAAAATCTATTTTACCGTAAAATTAATATCAACCGTAAAATATTACACCGTAACTTTTACAGTAGTATTTATTTAATTAGAGTGATTCAATGGTTTTAAGGTAAAAATTATAGTTTATCAGATTTTTTGATCCGTTACATCTTCCGGTAAAAATGGATTTTACTGTAGAAAGTTACTAGCACTCTGAGTGCCGGTACTTTCTAATATTATTTGAGGTATTAAGAAATAGTTAATAAGGTGCAAATTTGGAACAACCTTAATAAGACCAGAAAATAAATCATATTACCAAGATGAATCATATTATCCTGTAAACAAGTTTATGAAGTAGTATTAATCTAGACTAAATGAGTTCATTATAGGTTGAGCAATTTTAAGGACATTATGGTTCAAGCAACTTTGGAATTTTTAACAAAGTAAAAATATTCATGGCACATACTAAATAAAATATCGACAAATGTTTTTAAATTAGTTAACGAACGTTTATTTAAATGCGCCAAAATGAAAATTTTATTCTCAAGAATTGTTTCAAGCAAATTTATACATGTATTTTCAAGCAATATATTTTTTTTTTGTCACAGACATGTGGATATATAATATAACATTTTATTCTGCAACAGTCATAATTTCAAATGTAACTGTAAATATACTACTCGTATTTAATGTACATTTATAATACAATATGTGCTTTTATGTATGAATATCTATATCACAGTACGAAATATATCGCGTTTCACCACACGTTTTCCATTCTCCTATAGTATTATATACTTTTTCAATCTAATGTCTGGCTATGTATAATTTTTCTTCATTTTTTTGATTAAACAAATGCATATAAATCCGTATATTTTCCCGCAATACCACAAAATTCACTCCTGAAGGATATTTCACATCATGTCGACGCAAAGACGTCGTTGGCGGGGTCGTAGGGTATGTGCCCCCCTAAATAATTGCAAGCCTTTCAAATCCCCCCCTTAATGTTTCAGACAAATAAAAAAATTTACTGAATCATCATTTATACGAACTCATGAAAGGTAAAATAAAAATAAAATTTATCTTTTGCGAATGTTTAGCAGGTGTAAGACATTTTTTTTCTTGTTATGTGTGAAATTAAGGGAACTAGTGTGACTACTTATTTTAATTTCGTTTCTCTCAATAATTGGACCCCTGCGACGTCTATACGTGGACATCTTGTTCAAATTGTGTCTTCAGCGCGTTGAAACTTGTTTTCCTTTTTTCGTTTCAGTATTTTAATTGATTTGCAGGTGTAGTTAATTTAGAGCATTGAACTTTTTCCTGTTAGATAGCATTTATCTGGACCTATTCTTGCTGAGTTCAGGGATTGCTTTAAAACCACATCATGAGTAATGATTAAGGAAATATAATGAAATAGTTTTCTTCCTTCGAATTGATTAGTCACTTTTGATGAATAACATTTTATTTTTTTTAAAAAGTTAAATGCAGTGACACTACTGCACCTGTATTTTTTGTTGATGGATAAAACACCTTTTTCTTTCTTTTTTCTGTTTTTGTTTCAGTCAAAAATTTTTTTTTTAAATTGCTATTTTGTTAAATTTTTTTTCTTCACAAAATTTTCCATTGAAACATATTTTTCATGTTTCATTTAAGAAAATGTACATGAACAGTCAGCTACGAAATTAAATTCACGAAACCTTAATTTATTAAATTCCAAACAACTATTCACACAAAAAAAAAAATATTTGTTTTTACAAAAAAGTATGAAAACAAGAAAGAAAAAAGTTATTTAGCAGAAAAGTAAGGTTGTCCTGTTCATTACAAGAATTTTTTTTTTGCTTATTAAAGCAAAAAAGAGAAAAAGGAATTTAGAAGAGCCTATTAAAGTTGTTGTCAGAGTTTTTTTATACATTTAATATGAATTATGTGAATTTTACTCTTGTTATTTAAATTACTTTAATTTTAAAAATAGTTTCGAAAAATTTTAACTTCGTCAAACATTCTATCATATCTGAATCTTAGTACATATTTTTTTTGCTGCAAACATACCAATATTTAGGTTAATTTTCAAAAATTCTCTAGCATTAGTTGAAAACATTTTAAGGCAAAATAGCACACTTAATTCTGTCGTTAATGGGGATTCAACTTAAAAAAGTGACTACTTTAGTTTCTTTAGAATATTGAACATAAAAAAAGCACTTATATTACTTTCCAATGCTATGTTATTAATTAAAGGAATAAACATTCACATTGCTCTGAGAACAGAAAATAGTTAATCGTTACAGTTTGCACCTGTAACTTCTAAATATTCTCAAAGTTTAACCAAGCATATTATCTAAAAATGTTGGCTGATAATTTTTGATCATAATTCATATAATGAATAAAGTATGCAGATGTTTTTTTTACATAAAATTAACATATAATTATAAAATTTGCTTAAAGCTATTATTTACTATTTATGGTATAAGAAAAAAAGAAATATAATGAATAGTATTCATAAAATTATACAGAAATTTCTATTCATATCTTTTATTATTTTATTGATACAACTATGGAAGAT